AATTTATATACTTTCAGTTATTCAGTGAAAGATGGATATGTGAAAGTAATCACACCATACATTTCCTCTGTTTTTAATCATATTATACCTTTTTATGCAGATTTTCTTCCTGTATATCTGCGTTTACAATTCAGGCTTTTGAGCATGAAAAGCTATATGGTTGTCACAATGAATTTAATTACCATTTTTGAATCCTAAGAATTGACATCTAGCGTTTTATTTCTTTTAAAAGTTCTAGATACAGAATTTCCAGTCCTAATTAAGGCATCAAAATGGAAAATCCTCTGATTTTATCATTCACTATATATCTTAGTGATAACTTTTCCTGGAAATCTAAAAATATATGTATTATTGTAGCAGGAGTGCATACATTTATCATGTAGAAGTTGAAAAGGCTTTTTATATTTGCTACTGTGCTTTCCATGTGTTGTAATCATGCCAACTAACAGATTTTCATTAACTTTAATACTGTTACAACTTGGTTTTCTTCTTACCCATGAAAATGATACCATTTTTTTCACTATAATTAAAGAAACTTACATTTTCCATCAAGCCCTACACCTATTGTGTTAAAGGGTAAATACCCACTTTGGTGCTACAGGTACAATTGCGTTCAAATAGAATCTCATGATCAGTTTTAAGGAGTCTGGCTGCTCCCTGTGAGAGAGATAACTTTAATGGATAGGGCTTTTTATTGAAGCAACACATTACAGATTCTTTTGGATTGCTTGTGATATATATACTGTCTTCAGAGTTTGTCCAATAATGTGAATAATATAACCAACCATAAACTTGTTAAATTATGGACTAATTCTATAAAGATTTCTAAGTTTTCCAGGGAAGCACTCAGTAAAACGATGTGTGAATTTTACCCAATAGGAATCCCTATTGAGGGATGGGAAATAGATGTCTGTCAGTACCTGTAAACTGGTTCCAGGATCCAGCAGTGTCCTCCCAAACGTTCTGTGGTGGTATATATCCCAGCTCTTTCCTCCTTTAAACCATTTTTGCACTATTTGCTTACTTTCAAGTGGAGCTTCATGACTCTAGTCATATGCATCTTTGTTGTGATTGATGTGATGAAAAATGAAAAGCTGCTGACTCGGGGTGACAGCAAATGCAGTTTATCAGTTTTGTATTATCAGTAAGTTCCCATCCTTGTAATATTATCACAGAGAATGGCATTTAGGCTGCACTCCACCCTTCCTGCTGTATCCATCAAAGTCAACATCCAAGTTCTCCCGGTGCTGCTAACAATCTAAGGTTTGCAGGGCTTGTGTTGCCAAGGGAACTATCATGGAACAGAATCCCTGTATATTCATCACATTCCACTCTGCAGGTTTCCTCAGCACCGAACTTTCTCCTAAGATATGACATCACAATAATTCACCTCTAACAATTACTTCAAATAATCTACCCTATGACTACATTCACTCGTGTTCACAATATTCAGAAGGATCTGGGGAGGTCACAAGCACTGGTGTTACAAAAATTAGAGCTAAGGGTCTCTTGGGCTGCTCACTATGTATGGGATTAAGGTGATTGACATATAGTCATAGTATTTAGCAATGTTATCAGTCTGAGCAAAGCCTTAGGCATAATGGCCAGGCCAAAGGATGAGGTTGAGAGCAGGGGGGAGCACACTGTCACACTATGCAGTAAAAAATTCTGCTAAAACATAGTATGCATCACCTTCATAGTGGTGCAAACTCTTTTAATTTATCAAAATATTTAAAATATTGGATATTTTTGTTTCAGCCCTTGGGCTCCTATCCCTTTGAAAACACTAGCATCCCAGTGTTTAATTTTTATTTTAATGTTCATTTTCATAGAAAGTCTATAGAATTTCAAATATTATAATAGTAAAGAAGGTGATACTATGTAAAAGGATTCCCCAACTTTTTACTGGTTTAAATCTCGTTCCCATACTTTAGGACAGTCTGAAGTTGAATTAAAACCTGGAATTTAACTCTACATTTACAAAATTATAATAATTCAGGAAAAAAAAAAAAAAAAGTATCAGTATTTTCTCTCCACTTACTTATTGAAATAGAGAAATAACGGCACTAATCGTTAGCAATTTTATAAATGTACTTAAATATAGGGATATCCATCTGTTAGAGTAAGACCTCACTAGCGTTTAAAGGATGTGCCAAGGAGATTGTGACTTTTCCGAATAAAGTGGATCAGAACGTGAAACATTATCTAAGTCCTGAAAATCTCAGTCTTGTGTTGCTTACTCAACCTTGAATAAACATGTGATATACTAAAATCTACTGAGGCAAATGCATTGTACCCAGTACACACAAGAAGGAGAAAAATTAACTTGGAAAGAGGAAATATGATCTAAACAACCTTAGTCATGCTGAATGGTTACCATCGCTTTTTCTTACTGTGATTTATTTTGGATTGATCTTCCTAAAATGGCAAGCTAGGAGCATGCTTACGTTATCAGTGAGGAAATATGAATTAAAAATTAATTATAGAGAACTGGTTGAGGGTTTTGGGGGGTGTTTGTTTGCATTTCATGATTAAAAATACTTTTGTGACAGTAAAAGGTGATATGGATATGGTAGCATACGATAAAATTACCATGTTTACAGTAGCAAAAAATTATCCTTTATGATTTGATACTTGTGCTCTTTTCTACATTGTTACACTTGTGTAGGAATGAATCCCACTTCTCTGAAAACAACAGAAGTAAAATTCATGATTTTGTCAATAAGAACATGAAAGGAAGCCCAGTGAAAAGGGACATCCTAGAAATCTTATACTTGAAGAAAAACATAGGGTAACAAATTGTGTTAGACAAAATTAAACTGAAGACAGTCAGATGGAATTGGGAACAGTAATTTGACAAAGTTAAAGGTAGTTATAAGATCATGCAAAACCTTCTCAAAAATTAACGTCTAGACTGGAGAAACGCTTACAAATACTTCCAGAATCCAAGAAAGAACATTCCATGAATTACTCCAGTTCTATATATGGAATATAAAATTTAGGAATGAAAGGAACTAAAGGATATTTGAATATTGCATGTGATAAAACATAATTCCATGTATACAAAAGATCTTCCAGAAGAACAAAGATTGAGGAATCGGGAAATACTGAACAGTAAGCATAGTAAAGGAGCAAAGATTTAAACTCCAAAACTGAACAAAAATGTGTCCCTTTGGGCAACATTGTCATGGAGACTTTTGTTTGTTTCCATAAAAATCTGATGATAAATGTAAGGCAATATTTGGTTGGAAGCATTTTCTTGTTTTTGTTGTCTTAGTCAAACAGGTGTGTACTGCATACTGTGCTCTCAGAAGGTTGTGTTATAAAGCTGGAGGAAGGCAAACTAATGAAATTTATCACCTCTTCCTTACAAACTTGATCACATCTGCTTATGGAAACTTGAGCAATCACAGGAGCTGAAACAGGAGCTTATCAAAATTTGACCCAGAGCTGCTTAAAAGGTGATAATGAAAGAAAAGTTTTCTCTCTCTTCCTTTCTGTCTTTCCCCCACAACTCCCAAAAATGTTTTTTCCTTAAAGCACAGAGAGTTTGTACTTGCACATAACCAGTTTAATTTTAGTTACAGTTAACTGTGAGAATTTGCTTGGATCTTCAGCTAGCCATGCACTTCCCTACCTCCTGCAGTCCAGAAATCCATCTTTTACCATTGCAGATGACCTGCAGTCTCTGCAGGAGAAATCAAGTATCTGCACAGAAGTCACACGAAATTCCACACAACCACACACACACGCACACACACAAAATAAGAAAAAGCCTGTAGAGTTTGAGTATCCATACATTTTAAGGTTTGCAATTACTTTAGCTCTTGTTTTTTAGTCTTAACCATGCACATAATTTGTAACTGTGAGAACCTCAGATGTGAGCATTTTTGTTGGACTGCATATAAATAGCCAAGGTAACATTTTTTGTGAGCTGTTTCCAAGTTGAATACAGGCATGTTGTAGAGGTTAATGGCTAATATTAAACTCCTGTTGTTATCAGCAGTTTGACTCCACAGTTCATTACTGCTGCCTTAGTCTGTTACTGACACATCTATTCTTTCCTGTGTGTTTATGAGTTAGTGAAAGAGCCCTGCGAAGGGCTGCAAAGATTTCAGGAATATTGTGCAAAAGTATAATGCTACTTGTGAGGAAGTAATAAAACTCTGTTTATCCAAAAAGCAACTTTATTTTACTGATTTTCATCCTTATTCTTGTTTAAAATAAATATTTTTTTTTAAATTGTCTTTATTTTTCTTATGGCCTTGCAAGAGGAGGAAAATCCCCTTCAAGATAATTAGATTGGGAACATACAAACTGATTCTGTCCCTCCCCCACTATGAACCCCAGTTAGAAAAAACAAATTGAATAAACACTGAAATGTTTTGCTTTTTTCTTGCCAAAATGAGAACTTGGATGAAATTGCTTTTTTCTCAGCCAAAATTAGATATTCCATTTCAGAGTCAATATGAAAAGTGAAGAAAATAAGGGGCTGTGTTCACAAAACTATTGCTGGTGATAGTATTCATGGCTGAGTAACAGAGAGGTTAGGCATCCTGTCAGAATGGAAAGAGCACCATTCAGTTTATTCCTTTCCCTGTAGAAATTTGAACCAACCACTTCTAAATTTCTAGGGACTCACTAAGACATAATCACTAAATGATAAGCTAATTCAGTGTTTTCTCTTGACGCTTTTACAAATAAATTATATTTCAGAACAGATGTTATACCCAGGTGCTGCACTTTCCCAAGAAGCCACTATTAACACTTAAAAAAAATTGTAGAAATTGAAACAGCTCATGGATAAGATAAAAAAGAACACAAATTCAGATTACCTTGTACCCAGTACATCAACATGCCCTGTTCTGCCCTTCTGCCAGAAAAGTAACTAAAAACATTAAAATACCACTCTCCACTGATGCTAAGTTACTAACTCAGGTGATAATAGGGCTTCAGTCCCTCTGCCATTTAGGGAAGACAATAGCACTGGCCTCAAGCTTGGGCTCACTTCAGCAGCACACATACTAAAATTGGAATGATAAGAGAAGATTAACATGGTCTCTGCAAGGATGACATGCAAATTCAAGAAGTGTTCCATATTTTTCCCAGGTATTTATACAAACTGGGGGAAGACCTCCTTGAGAGCAGCCCTGCGGAGAAGGACTTGCGGTCCTCGTGAACTAGAAGCTGGACATGAGCCAGCCAGTGTGCGCTCACAGCCAGGAAGGCCAACTGTGTTCTGCGCTGCATTAAAAAAGCAGTGGCCAGCAGAGAGAGGGAGGTGATTGTTCTCCTCTGCTTGGCTCTTGTGAGGCCCCATCTGCAGTACTGCCCCCAGTAGAGGAAGGACATAAAGCTCTTAGAGCGGGTCCAGAGGAGGGCCACTAAGATAATCAGAGGGCTGGAGCACCTCTCCTGTGAGGGAAGGTTGAGGGAACTGGGATTGTTTAGCTTGGAGAAGAGAAGGCTCTGGGGATACCTCATTGCAGCCTTCCAGTACTTGAAAAGAGCTTATAAACAGGAGGGGGGATGGCTGTTTATGAGGATGGATAGTGATAGGACAAGGGGGAATGGTCTTAAACTGAGATAGGGGAGGTTTAGGTTAGATATTAGGAGTTTTTTCACACAGAGAGTGGTGACGCATTGGAACAGATTGCCCAAGGAGGTTGTGGATGCTCCATCCCAGGACGCATTCAAGTCCAGGCTGGATGTGGCTCTGGGCAGCCTGGTCTAGTGATTGGTAACCCTGCATATAGCAGGGTGTTGAAACTAGATGATTATTGTGGTCTTTTTCAACCCAGGCCATTCTATGATTGTCATGGTTTTATGATTTTTGGTTTTCGGTATTCCACATCATAACCTCATGTGGGGCACTGGTAGTTTAACTGTTAATGCTCAAGTTCTGGGTACCTGCCCGGAAGAGAAGAAGAACTACATTCCCCAGGGGACTTTGCGGTCACAGAGGGGAGATACAACTCCTGGCAAGGTCACCTGATGCGCTCTTCTTCGCCTTCTCTTTTTCGTCGGCTCTCCTCCCGTCTCCCTGCTGCTCAACTGGACTCCGCACCTCACCTCAGTGTTGTGGTGAGGCCTATCCACCTTTCAGACATTCTGTCTCTCATTATATTTGATTTATTAGCTTCAAATTTAATTATATTGTATTATAGTGTGTTATCTTGCATTCCGATAATGTATTTAGTAAATTAGTTTGTTTCTCTTCAAATCATTGCTGATGTTTTTAATTATTTTGGGGTCCCCTGTTCCCTTTTCTGGAGGCGCGGATTTTGCGAAATCCCTCCGCCCCACTCGTCACAGAACCGGGCTGAACCAGCCCATAAACCGTTGACAGTGATTCTATGATATGATTCTATGATAAGTTGCAGTGGGGGAGGTTTAGGTTGGATATCAGGAAGAACTTATTTACAGAAAGGGTTTTTAAGCACTGGAATAGGGTCTCCAGGGAGGTGGTTGAGTCACCATCCCTAAATGTGTTTAAAAACCACTTGGATGTGGTGCTCAGGGACATGATTTAGTGGAGGGTTGTTAGAGTAGTATGGTTAGGTTGCACTTGGACTAGATGATCTTGAAGGTCTTTTCCAACCTGAGCAATTCTATGATTCTATGATGGTTTTCTGAGAAGTGATGTAGAGAAGCCCATGTATCTGGAGGATACAGTAGTTTCAGAAACTTCAGATACAGGAGAACTGCTACCAGTGCTACTTGTAAATGGTTCTCTGACATTAGAGTGCCAATGATCACATACACTCCCAGCTAAAATTCTGTTGTCACCTCAAGAAACAGATTATTTCCAGATGGAATTAAATAAAGTTTTCGTAATCTTTAATAAGCAAAATAATCTACTATATTTAGGATGGTATTTTATGACTGGAAATTTCACATTCATTGTTTATGCCTTGAATATTACTGTTATGGACATCATTTCTCATCTGTAGAATTACTTTCATCTGGAGATTCAGGAATGCTTTTAAAGCAGCTCTGCAGCTGCCACGGTATCTGTGTGAGGTAGTAAGTCTTCACCTCATAAAGACTACAGTGCTTAGATGAACCCATGAGGGATCTCCAGATCACCTGGGGTAGCTTTGCACAGCAGTCTGGTGTTGCCAAAGAAAAGATAGTTCTACATACAGCAAAAAGAATATGTAGGGAGGAAGAAGAAAAATTACTACATTTTAACATGGTAGCTGAATTGAGAGGGGAAAATTCTGTGATTAAACCCCCTTTGCTGTAAGGTTATATTTTGAGGACTTTAATTACATGATCCCTGTACTTTAATAACAATATTCCCCATCGCATCTTTGAAAATGACCCATTACTTACTATTTTTATTTCTCCAGATCTCATACCATGATGTGGTTTCAGCATTGTCTCCAAGGGAAAATCTTCATATGTGTGTACTTACAGACTGCATTTCTTCACCATCTTGAACCATTCTGGTGTTGCTCCACCTGATCTGGAGCCAGGCTTCTCCTCTCCTATTTCTGAGTCATGCCAACTCCACTAGCCTATGGTTGAGTTACTTCCTTTCCACTTCACATGCCAGACGCAATTCAGCATTTGTCCACCTGGCATCACATCAAAATTTCTGTTCCTGGCAGGCAGCCAAGTCATGCTGGTTCAGCTTTTCCACTTGCTCATTTGGCACCGCTTTTTAATAGAGAGAAAGAGTGCTCTTCTGTCCTGTCCCGCAGGCAGTGACCTCTGCGTGCATATGTTTTTCACAGTAGATTGTGTCTCCAAAGCACCAGGCTCTGTAGCAATTCCTCATCTACACACAAACAAGATTTATTAACGATTTAGAGTAAGCATATCCCCATCCTTTATACCCTTGCAAAAACACTCCCTGCCTATAACCTGCCTCCACTTTAACACAACCTCAGTGAAGACTGAGCCTGAAGCTGTCCAATAAGAAGAGGCCCTCAAACAGTTCTGAAAACTTGAGGAGATATTTCAATACATAATACTGGTGGATTGAAATAAATGTGTTGTAAATTCCAATTGATTAAATAATTTCTGTTAAATTCATTTAAGACTGTAAGTATTTTCTTTCTGGAAGAATTAGCAATCAGAAAAGTGGAAGATATTGGTTGTCTGTTTCCTCTAAAAGCAAAGATCAGTGCAGACATATTTGAGGAGTGTGAGTTCCAGAGCTTTATAAGGCATTGTACATCTCAGATGATAAGCTAATGAATATCATAAATTAATCTGATCGTAAGTTAATCACTATTGTCTCACATCTATGGTGAATTCTTGCAAACTCCAGTGTTCACCATACTTCTATAAAAGAGTGTATTTCTTGCACAACTTGTTATGCACTGTGATCTTTGTACTTTTTCTGAAGACTATGATTCTTGTCTTTTTATTACCTGAAACTGGTGAATAGCTGATATGATAGCCTGCATATGTTCTGTAAAAATTAATTCTCTGTCATTAGTTAGGACTTTGCTTTGTTTTGCTGGGAATGGGAGAAGGAGATGTTGATGGATGTAGTTATTTTGATGGAGTGGTTAACTATACACAAAGAAATGGAGTCAAGTTTCATCTGCTGCTTACTGAAACAGAAATCATTACAATGATGTGTTAACATCCACTGCTATTAATTTGTGTATTTAATCAATCGACCTTAGTTGGCAGGAGTTACACACACATATATGCACATAAACATGCACAAAGACACACACATAAATACAATAGCAATTCCAAACAGCATAAAAAACAGGACAGCATTTTGCACAACCATCTTTAATCTCCAAAAACAATTCAGCCAACACAAGTTTTATTTTATTTGTAATGAATAACTTAAATATTTTTATTCCTAAGTCATTTTTAAGTGTAAGGAAGGAAGTACTACTGTTACTGGAAAACACAAATACTCTAAACCTTATTTAAGCCAGAGTGATATTATACAATAGACTGAGCTCTGCACAAGTCTACCCTAAACCCTAAAAAAATACTAAAAGATGTTTCAGGCTCAGTGTATATTATTCTAATTACACGGAGAAGAAAGGAAGGAAGATTTTCCACAGTCAAGGAGAGTGAACAGTGAATAACTGCATAATTCAAGGAGAAATGCAAATCTTGCACATTTGTAAGTCCACCTAAAACAAACAAAAGATTCAAATGCATTGAATAAAGCAATAAAATGGCTGGTAGCTACAAAATGAGATGGGGATGAGTACATAACACTGCACTCATTTTACATATTAACTTTCAGTGTGAAATGTAGCAAGCAAGGCTGAAATACACTGCCTACTGATCTGATATGAAGTAGGTCACCCTAGACTGTGTGACTGAGAACTAAATAATCTGCCAAGGGAAAGTTTAAGAAATTCTTAATTTTTTTCTTGACTAGCTAAAATTTATTCAATTTACTTGTACATCCGTAATAAAATTCTGGAAACTGCAAAAGGGAGGAAAAGACAAGAGGAAATAATTATGAAGTCTCACAAATTCACTGATTGTACTTTGTAGCCAATTCCTGACTTCCATAGAAAGAACTCTGAAAATGCTTAACTGAAGATCATACACATACAGCTTTGTAAAATCCAATTAAGCAACAAGAAATCTGATCTAAATTTGCAATCCAAAAGTAAAGTTTGTTTACTTGTGAAGACTTTTGTACTATTTTTATAACAAAATATCTACTTTTTTTGTCCCCAGTAAGTCTAGAAATGCATATTAAAAATAGGATATGAAAGCTCTTTTTATTAGCACTTAAAGCCTACAGGAATTTTAAGTGCTAAAATTTGCCAAGATAAATGTGACCTTTTTTCAGGTTTACGTAATTATTTTTACCGATGAAGCATTTTTGTGTCTCTAAACAGAATCTCTATAGTATGTTCTTTAGAGATTTCTATTTGAGTAGAGGTCTGATGTTTCATGTTGTACAGTGTGTGCATGGTACTTTTATACATTTTCTTTTACTTTGAGCCAGCAGTGTTGGATCTGAGATCTAAGGTAACCAGTCTGGAAGGAATACTTTGGCACAAGTGCCAGTCTCATCTGTTTTTGAAACTGCATAGCTAATGTATGTCTCCCCCTTACGACAGAAAGTACCTCTTGCTTTCTTAGCCCACCAGCTCCTAT